AACCAGCAAAAATACCCCAAAAACACCACGGCAAGACCACCCTGACGGCTGCCATCACCAAAGGTGGGGGAAAATACCCTAAAAATAGCAAGCAGCAAAATAACCCAAAAATGGGCAAAATACCCCAAAAATGGGGGAAAATATCCCAAAAACGGGCAAAATACCCCAAAAACAGCAAAAATACACCCCAAAAACACCACGGCAAGACCACCCTGACGGCTGCCATCACCAAAGGTGGGGGAAAATACCCCCAAAATGGGGAAAATAACCCAAAAACAGCGAAAAAATACCCCAAAAATGGGGAAAATACCCCAAAAATGGGGAAAATACCCCAAAAATGGGGAAAATAACCCAAAAACAGCGAAAAAATACCCCAAAAACGGGGGAAAATACCCCAAAAACAGCAAAAAAACACCCCAAAAACACCACGGCAAGACCACCCTGACGGCTGCCATTACCAAAGGTGGGGAAAAAACACCTCAAAAATGGGGGAAAATACCATAAAAATGGGGAAAATACAAAAAAAATGGGGAAAATACCCCTAAAAACGGAGCAAAATACCCCAAAAACAGCAAAAAAACCCCAAAAACACCACGGCAAGACCACCCTGACGGCTGCCATCACCAAAGGTGGGGGAAAAACACCCCAAAAACACCCCAAAAACCCCGGGAATCACCCCAAAAATGGGGAAAATACCTCAAAAATGGGGGAAAATACCAAAAAAACAGCAAAAAAATACCCCTAAAACACCACGGCAAGACCACCCTGACAGCTGCCATTACCAAAGGTGGGGCAAAATACCCCAAAAATACAGCAAAATACCCTAAAACAGCGAAAAATCCCAAAAATGGAAATACCCAAAAACGGAAAATACCCCAAAAATGGGGAAAATATCCCAAAAACAGCAAAAATACACCCCAAAAACACCACGGCAAGACCACCCTGACGGCTGCCATCACCAAAGGTGGGGCAAAAACACCCCAAAAATGGGGGAAAATACCATAAAAATGGGGAAAATACAAAAAAAATGGGGGAAAATACCTCAAAAATGGGCAAAATACCCCAAAACCAGCAAAAAAATACCCCAAAAACACCACGGCAAGACCACCCTGACGGCTGCCATCACCGAGGGTGAGACAAAATACCCCTAAAACAGCCAAAAAATACCCCAAAAACGGGCAAAATACCCCAAAAACAGCAAAAAAATACCCCAAAAATGGGGAAAATACCCCAAAACCAGCAAAAAAATACCCCAAAAACACCACGGCAAGACCACCCTGACGGCTGCCATCACCAAAGGTGGGCCCCAAAATATACCAAATACCCCAAAAACGGGCAAAATACCCCAAAAACAGCAAAAAAATACCCCAAAAATGGGGAAAATACCCCAAAAACAGCAAAAAAACACCCCAAAAACACCACGGCAAGACCACCCTGACGGCTGCCATCACCAAGGGTGAGAGAAAATACCCCAAAAACAGAGCAAAATACCCCTAAAACAGCAAAAAAAATCCCAAAAATGGGGGAAAATACCAAAAAAATGGGCAAAATACCCCAAAACAGCAAAAAAATACCCCAAAAACACCACGGAAAGACCACCCTGACGGCTGCCATCACCAAAGGTGGGGCAAAAACACCCCAAAAATGGGGAAAATACCCCAAAAACAGCAAAAAAAAACCCCTAAAACAGAGCAAAATAGACCCCATCACCAAGGGTGGGAGAAAATACCCCAAAAACGGGGAAAATACCCCAAAAATGGGGGAAATAACCCCAAAAATGGGGCAAGTAAATAACCCCAAAAAGGAGGCAAACGACCCCAGAAATGGGGCAAAATACCCCGAAAATGGGGCAAATAAATAACCCCCAAAATGGGGTAAAATACCCCGAAAATGGGGGGGATTTTGGGGTCCCTGTGGGATTTTTATGGGGGTTCCTGACAGGATTTTGGGTCCCCCACAGTTCTGTCCTCGGGAGGGATTTTGGGGTCCCTGTGAGGGTTTTTTAGGGGGTTCCCTGACCGTATTTGGGGGTTTTTAGGGTTCTTTGGGGGTTTCCCTGACACAATTTTGGGGTCCCCCCTCAATTCTGTCCTCGGGGGAGATTTTGGGGTCCCTATGGGAGTTTTTTGGGGGATCCCTGACTGGATTTGGGGGTTTTTAGGGATTTATGGGGGTTTCCTGACCATATTTTGGGTTCCCCCCACAGTTTTATCCTCGGGGGGGATTTTGGGGTCCCTATGGAGTTTTGGGGGTTTCCTGACTGATTTTGGGGTCCCCCACAATTCTGTCCTCAGGGGTTGTTTGGGTTTTAGGGTTTATGGGGATCCTGACCAAATTTTGGGTCCCTATGGGGATTTTTGGGGTTTCGACCGATTTTAGGGTCCCCCATGTTCTATCCTCGGGGAGGGGTTGGGATTTTTAGGGTTCTTTGGGGGTTCCCTGACCAGATTTTGGGATTTTTAGGGTTTTATGGGGGGTTCCTAACCATATTTTGGGCTCTCCCCACAGTTTTATCCTCGGGGGGAGGGGATGGGGTTTTTAGGGTTTTATGGGGGGATCCCAGACTGGATTTTGGGGTTTTTAGGGTTTTATGGGGGGTTCCTAACTGGATTTTGGGGTCCCCCCACAGTTCTATCCTCGGGGGGAGGGGTTGGGATTTTTAGGGTTCTTTGGGGGTTCCCTGACCAGATTTTGGGATTTTTAGGGTTTTATGGGGGTTTTCTAACCATATTTTGGGTTCCCCACAGTTCTGTCCTCGGGGGGAGGGGCCCAGTTCCGCCGCTATGAGGGGGGAGGGGATGGGGTTTTTAGGGTTTTATGGGGATTCCTGACTGTATTTTGGGGTTTTTAGGGATTTATGGGGGTTTCCTGACCATATTTTGGGCTCTCCCCACAGTTTTATCCTCGGGGGGAGGGGCCCAGTTCCGCCGCTACGAGGACATCGACTCTGCCCCCGAGGAGAAGGCTCGGGGCATCACCATCAACGCTGCCCACGTGGAGTACAGCACCCCAAACAGGCACTATGCCCACACTGACTGCCCTGGGCACGCCGACTACGTCAAGGTGGGGCACCCAAAATACCCAAAAATACCAAAAACCCCATAAAAATCCCATTAAAAATACCCAAAAATCAAAAATCCCATAAAAACCCCATAAAAACCCCCACCCCCCGCGGAGTACAGCACCCCAAACAGGCACTATGCCCACACTGACTGCCCTGGCCACGCCGACTACGTCAAGGTGGGGCACCAAAAACATCTACACCCCAAAAACCCCATAAAAATCCCATTAAAAACACCCAAAATATCAAAAATCCCATAAAAACCCCAACCCCACCTGGAGCACAGCACCCCAAACAGGCACTATGCCCACACTGACTGCCCTGGGCACGCCGACTACGTCAAGGTGGGGCACCCCAAAAACATCTACACCCAAAAAAACCCCATAGAAAAAACCCCAGAACAAAAACCCCACAAAAATCCCATAAAAAACACAAAAACCCCATAAAAACCCCATAAAAACCCCAACCCCCCCTGGAGCACAGCACCCCAAACAGGCACTATGCGCACACTGACTGCCCTGGGCACGCCGACTACGTCAAGGTGGGGCACCAAAAACATCAAAAACACCAAAAACCCCACAAAAATCCCATTAAAAATACCCAAAAATGAAAAATCCCATAAAAACCCCATAAAAACCCCAACCCCGGAGCACAGCACCCCAAACAGGCACTATGCCCACACTGACTGCCCTGGGCACGCCGACTACGTCAAGGTGGGGCACCAAAAACATCTACACCCCAAAAAACCCCATCAAAATCCCATAAAAAACACCCAAAATATCAAAAATCCCATCAAAATCCCATAAAAACCCCAACCCCACCCCCCCTGGAGCACAGCACCCCAAACAGGCACTATGCCCACACTGACTGCCCCGGGCACGCCGACTACGTCAAGGTGGGGCATCAAAAATACCCAAAAATATCAAAAACCCCATAAAAATCCCATTAAAAATACCCAAAAAATCAAAACCCCATAAAAATCCCATTAAAAATATCCAAAATATCAAAAATCCCATTAAAACCCCATTAAAAATACCCAAAAAATCAAAAACCCCATCAAAAACACCCAAAAAAACCCCCACAAAAAAACCCCAAAAACCACACAAAAATCCCATAAAAAACACACCAAAAAAGCAAAAACCCCACAAAAATCCCACTTAAAAAAAAAAAACCAAAAAAACCGAAATGCCCACAAAAATCCCATAAAAAACACACCAAAAAAGCAAAAACCCCACAAAAATCCCACTTAAAAAAACCCAAAAAAACCAGAAACCCCGCAAAAGTCCCTTAAAAAAACGCAAAAAAGCAAAAATCCCCCAAAAATCCCATTTAAAAAAAAAGCCCCGAAAACCCCACAAAAATACCAATAAAAAAACCTAAAAAAAACCAAAAGCCCCTCAAAGATCCCGTAAAAAGCACCCAAAAAACCGAAAACCCCACAAAAATCCCATTAAAAAACCCCATAAAAAAAACAACCCAGGAACTGCCCAGCCCCCCAAAAAAATGAGGGTCATTTGGGGTGGTTTTGGGTGGGGTTTGGGTCATTTTTCCCCGATTTTGGGTGGGTTTTGGGTGGATTTCGGGCATTTTTCTCTAATTTTGTGTTATTTTTAACATTTTTCCCAATTTTGATCATTTTTCCCCAGAACATGATCACGGGCACCGCCCCCCTGGACTGAGGGGCTGTCTGGGGGTGATTTGGGGTGATTTTGGGGTAGTTTTTGGGTGGTTTTTGGGTGATTTTTGGGTGTTTTTCTCCATTTTTGGGTATTTTTTAACATTTTTCCCAATTTTGATCATTTTTGCCCCAGAACATGATCACGGGCACCGCCCCCCTGGACTGAGGGGCTGTCTGGGGGTGATTTGGGGTTATTTTGGGGTGGTTTTTGGGTGATTTTTCCCCGATTTGGGGTCATTTTCCCCATATTTGGGTATTTTTTAACATTTTTCCCAATTTTGATCATTTTTGCCCCAGAACATGATCACGGGCACCGCCCCCCTGCACTGAGGAGCTGCCTGAGGGTCATACAGGGTGATATTGGGGTGGTTTTGGGGTGGGTTTTGGGTCATTTTTCCCCGATTTCAGGTCATTTTCCCCATTTTTGGGTTATTTTAGGTATTTTTTAACATTTTTCCCAATTCTGGCTGTTTTTGCCCCAGAACATGATCACGGGCACCGCCCCCCTGGACGGGGCCATCCTGGTGGTGGCGGCCACGGACGGGCAGATGCCCCAAACCCGCGAGCACCTCCTATTGGCCAGACAGGTACGGGGGGCGTGGCCAGCGGGAAAAGGGGAGGGGCTTGTGCTAGAGAGCACCTCCTATTGGCCAGACAGGTACGGGGGGGCGGGGCTAATGGGAAAAGGGGCGGGGCTTGTGTTCTAGAGCACCTCCTATTGGCCAGACAGGTACGGGGGGCGGGGCTTGTGTTATAGAGCACCTCCTATTGGGCAGACAGGTATGGGGGGCGTGGCCAGTGGGAAAAGGGGTGTGGTTTACATTATAGAGCATCTCCTATTGGCCAGACAGGTACGGGGGGCGGGGGTAACGGGAAAGGGGCGGGGCTTGTGTTAGAGAGCACCTGCTATTGGCCAGACAGGTACGGGGGCGTGGCCAGTGGGAAAAGGGGTGTGGTTTACATTATAGAGCACCTCCTATTGGCCAATCAGGAACAGGGGGGCGTGGGTTGTGTTATAGAATGGCTCTGATTGGTCAGATGGGAATGGGCCCATGGTTTATTTTATAGAACGGCTCTGATTGGCTAGATGGGAATGGGGGCGTGGCCAGATGAGCAAAGGGGATGGGATTTGGGTTTTTGGGGGGGTTTTGGTGGGGTTTTGGGTGTTTTTGGAGGTCCCTGTGGGGGTCTGGGGGTGTCTCTGGGGGTCCCTCAATGGGTCTGGGGTCCCCTCAAACCCCCTCCCCACAGGTGGGGGTCCAGCACGTCGTGGTCTACGTCAACAAGGCCGGCGTTGGGGGGGTCTCTGTGGGTCTGGGGGTGTCTCTCTGGGTCTGGGGTCTCTCAGTGGGTCTGGGGGTGTTTCTGGGGGTCCCTGTGTGGGTCTGGGGTCTCTCAATGGGTCTGGGGTCTCTCAATGGGTCTGGGGTCCCCCAGGTGGGGGTCCAGCACGTCGTGGTCTACGTCAACAAGGCCGACGTTGGGGGGGTCTCAGTGGGTCTGGGGCTGTTTCTGGGGGTCTCTCTCTGGGTCTGGGGTCTCTCTGGGGTCTCTCAGTGGGTCTGGGGTCCCCTCAAAGCCCCCTCCCCACAGGTGGGGGTCCAGCACGTCGTGGTCTACGTCAACAAGGCCGATGTTGGGGGGGTCTCTGTGGGTCTGGGGGTGTTTCTGTGGGTCTGGGGTCTCTCTGGGATCTCTCTCTGGGTCTGGGGGTGTCTCTGGGGTCCCTCAATGGGTCTGGGGTCCCCCAGGTGGGGGTCCAGCACGTCGTGGTCTACGTCAACAAGGCCGACGCGGTGACGGACCCGGAGCTGCTGGCGCTGGTGGAGCTCGAGGTGCGGGAGCTGCTCAGCGAGTTCGGCTTCGATGGGGAGAAAACCCCGGTGGTCGTGGGGTCAGCGCTGTGTGCCCTGCAGGTGGGACCCCAAAACTGACCCAAACTGACCCAAAAATAACCCCAAAACTGACCCCAAAGTGACCCAGAGTGACCCATCCCCATCGCACCCACCCCGGTGGTTGTGGGGTCAGCGCTGTGTGCCCTGCAGGTGGGACCCCAAAACTGACCCTAAACTGACCCAAAGTGACCCAAAAAATGACCCCAGACTGACCCAGAGTGACCCATCCCTGTCACACCCAACCCCGGTGGTTGTGGGGTCAGCGCTCTGTGCCCTGCAGGTGGGACCCCCAAAGTGACCCCCAGAGACCCCAAACTGATCCAAACTGACCCCAAAGTGACCCAGAACTGCCCTGTCCCCATCGCACCCACCCCGGGGGTTGTGGGCTCAGCGCTGTGTGGTCTGCAGGTGAGACCCCAAAGTGACCCAAACTGACCCAAAAATAACCCCAAAACTGACCCAGAGTGACCCAGAGTGACCCATCCCCATCGCACCCACCCCGGTGGTTGTGGGGTCAGCGCTGTGTGCCCTGCAGGTGGGACCCCAAACTGACCCCAAACTGACCCAAACTGACCCCAAAGTGACCCAGAGTGACCCCAAACTGACCCATCCCTGTCACACCCAACCCCGGTGGTTGTGGGGTCAGCGCTCTGTGCCCTGCAGGTGGGACCCCAAAACTGACCCAAACTGACCCAAAAATGACCCAAAAATGACCCAAACTGCCCCAAAAATGACCCCAAAACTGACCCAAACTGACCCAAAAATAACCCCAAAACTGACCCAGAGTGACCCAGAGTGACCCATCCCCATTGCACCCACCCCGGTGGTTGTGGGGTCAGCGCTGTGTGCCCTGCAGGTGGGACCCCATAGAGACCCCAAACTGATCCAAACTGACCCCAAAATGACCCCAAAGTGACCCTGAGTGACCCAGAACTGTTCTGTTCCCATCTCACCCACCCCGGTGGTTGTGGGGTCAGCGCTGTGTGCCCTGCAGGTGGGACCCCAAAACTGACCCAAACTGACCCAAAGTGACCCCAAAACTGACCCCAAAGTGACCCCAAAAATGACCCCAAAACTGACCCTAAACTGACCCCAGTGACCCCAAAGTGACCCCAAAAATGACCCCAAAACTGACCCTAAACTGACCCCAAAGTGACCCCAAAAATGACCCCAAAACTGACCCCAAACTGACCCCAAACTGACCCTAAAGTAGCCCCAAAACTGACCCCAAAACTGACCCCGGAGTGACCCCAAAGTGGCCCCAAAACTGACCCAAAACTGACCCCAAAACTGCCCCTAAATCCTTCTCTTTCCTGCCCCACATGGGCTCTCTTCTAACCCCCCATTCCCACCCCATTCCTACCCCATTCCCACTCCCCATTCCCACTCCCCATTCCCACCCCATTCCCACCCCATTCCCTCCCCATTCCCACCCCATTCCCACCCCATTCCCACCCCATTCCCGCCCCATTCCCACCCCCCATTCCCACCCTCCATTCCCACCCCCCATTCCCACCCCCCATTCCCACCCCCCATTCCCACCCCCCATTCCCACCCCATTCCCACCCCCATTCCCACCCCCATTCCCACCCCATTCCTACCCCCATTCCCACCCCATTCCCAACCCCATTCCCAACCCATTCCCAACCCATTCCCAATCCATTATCCCCATTCCCACCCCATTCCCACCCCATTCCCACCCCATTCCCACACCCCATTCCCACCCCCATTCCCATCCCATTCCCCCCATTCCCTCCCCATTCCCACCCCATTCCCACCCCCATTCCCACCCCAATCCCACCCCATTCCCACCCCATTCCCTCCCCATTCCCACCCCATTCCCACCCCCCATTCCCACCCCATTCCCACCCCCCATTCCCACCCCAATCCCACCCCATTCCCCCCATTCCCTCCCCATTCCCACCCCATTCCCACCCCATTCCCACCCCATTCCCACCCCCATTCCCACCCCAATCCCACCCCATTCCCACCCCCCATTCCCACCCCATTCCCACCCCCATTCCCACCCCATTCCCACCCCCCATTCCCACCCCAATCCCACCCCATTCCTCCCATTCCCACCCCCCATTCCCCCATTCCCACCCCAATCCCACCCCATTCCCACCCCATTCCCACCCCATTCCCGCCCCGTTCCAGGACCGGGATCCGGAGCTGGGGCTGAACTCGGTGCTGAAGCTCCTCGAGGCCGTCGATTCCCACATCCCACAACCCCCCCGGGACCTGGAGAGGCCCTTCCTGCTGCCCGTGGAGGCTGTGCATTCTATCCCAGGTACTGACCCCAAAATCACCCTAAATCACCCCAAAAATCACCCCAAAAACTGCCCCAAAATCACCCCAAAATCACCTCAAACTCACCCCAAAGATCTGACCCAAAACCGCCCCCAAACCACCCCAAATTACCCCAAACCTGGAGAGGCCCTTCCTGCTGCCCGTGGAGGCCGTGCATTCCATCCCAGGTACTGACCCCAAAACTACCCAGAATCACCCCAAAAACTGCCCCAAAATCACCCCAAAACTGACCCCAAAAATCACCTCAAACTCACCCCAAAGATCTGACCCAAAACCGCCCCCAAACCGCCCCCAAATCACCCCAAACCTGGAGAGGCCCTTCCTGGTGCCCGTGGAGGCCGTGCATTCCATCCCAGGTACTGACCCCAAAACTGCCCAGAATCACCCCAAAAATCACCCCAAAACTGCCCCAAAATCACCCCAAAGATCTGCCCCAAAATCACCCCAAATCACCCAAAAATCACCCCAAAGATCTGCCCCCAACCACCTCAAATCACCCCAAAGCTGCCCCACACCCTTCCTGCTGCCCGTGGAGGCCGTGCATTCTATCCCAGGTACTGACCCCAAAACTGCCCCAAAATCACCCCAAAAATCACCCCAAAAACTGCCCCAAAATCATCCCAAAATCACCCCAAAATTACCTCAAAGATCTGCCCCAAACCGCCCCAAATCACCCCAAACCTGGAGAGGCCCTTCCTGCTGCCCGTGGAGGCCGTGCATTCTATCCCAGGTACTGACCCCAAAAACATCCTAAATCACCCCAAAACTGACCCCAAAAACTGCCCCAAAATCACCCCAAAGATCTGCCCCAAACCGCCCCCAAATCACCCCAAACCTGGAGAGGCCCTTCCTGGTGCCCGTGGAGGCCGTGCATTCTATCCCAGGTACTGACCCCAAAATCACCCTAAATCACCCCAAAAACTGCCCCAAAGTCACCCCAAAATCACCCCAAAACTGACCCCAAAAATCACCCCAAAAACCACCCCAAAGATCTGACCCCAAACCGCCCCAAATCACCCCAAACCTGCCGAGACCCTTCCTGAAACTGCCCGCGAAGGCCGTGCACTCCATCCCAGGTACTGACCCCAAAAACATCCTAAATCACCCCAAAACTGACCCAAATCACCCCAGAATCACCCCAAAGATCTGCCCCAAAACCACTCCAAAATCACCCCAAAATGCCCCAAAATCATCCCAAAGCCGCCCCCAAATCACCCCAAACCTGCCCCACAGATCTGCCCCATGGAGACCCCAAAACCGCCCCCAAAACCACCCCAAATGACCCCAAATCTGCCCCAAATCCCCCCCAAATCCCCCCCAAATCACCCCAGAACTACCCCGAAACTGCCCCAAAATCACCCTAAAATCACCCCAAAACTGCCCCACAGATCTGCCCCATGGAGACCCCAAAAATGCCCCCAAAATCACCCCAAATTCCCCCATAGAGACCCCAAAACCACCCCAAATGACCCCAAAACTACCCCCAAAACTGCCCCAAACCCACCCCAAATCCCCCCAAAGATCTGCCCCAAAACCACCCCAAAACCACCCCGAATCACCCCAAATCTGCCCCGGAGATCTGCCCCATGGAGACCCCAAACCTGCCCCCAAAACCACCCCAAATCTGCCCCAAATCACCCCAAAATCACCCCAAATCCCCCCATAGAGACCCCAAAACCCCCCCAACTGACCCCAAATGCCCCCCAGGCCGCGGGACGGTGGTGACGGGGACGGTCGAGCGCGGAACGATCCGGAAGGGGGAGGAGGTCGAGCTGTTGGGATACGGCCGGAACGTCCGCTCTGTCGTGACAGGTGAGGGCAAAATCACCCCAAAATGGGCCAAAATCACCCCAAAATTACCCCAAAATAACCCAAAATTACCCAAAATAACCCACATTGACCCAAACTGACCCAAACTGAGCTGTTGGGATACGGCCGGAACGTCCGCTCTGTCGTGACAGGTGAGGGGGGGTAAAACTGACCCAAAATGAGCCAAAATCACCCCAAAATTACCCCAAAATTACCCTAAAATAACCCACATAACCCACACTGACCCAAACTGAGTTGTTGGGGTACGGCCGGAACGTCCACTCTGTCGTGACAGGTGAGGGGAAAACTGACCCAAAATGGGCAAAAGTGAACCAAAATAACCCCAAAATACCCCAAAATTACCCACATAACCCACACTTACCCAAAATAACCCAAAACTGACCCAAAATAACCCAATCTGACCCAAACTGAGCTGTTGGGATACGGCCGGAACATCCGCTCTGTCATGACAGGTGAGGGTAAAACTGAGCAAAACTGACCCAAAATTACCCCAAAATTACCCCAAAATAACCCACATAACTCACACTGACCCAAACTGACCCAAAACTGACCCAAAATGCCCTAAAATGACCCAAAAGTGACCCAAACTGCCCCCCAGGGATCGAGATGTTCCACAAGAGCCTGGACAGGGCCGAGGCCGGGGACCCAAAATGGCCAAAAACTGACCCAAACTGACCCAAAGTGACCCAAACCTGACCAAAACTGACCCAAAATGATCTAAAATTATGTAAACTGACCCAAAATGACCCAAAACTGACCCAAACTGCCAAACTGCCCCCCAGGGATCGAGATGTTCCACAAGAGCCTGGACAGGGCCGAGGCCGGGGACCCAAAACTGACCCAAAACCAACCCAAACTGACTCAAAACTGACCCAAAATGATCTAAAATGACCCAAAATGACCCCAAAATGACCCAAAATGCCCCAAACTGACCCCAAAATGCCCGAGACAGATGTTCCAAAGAGCCTGACAGGCCGAGACGGACCCAAATGACCCAAAACTGACCTAAAACTGACCCAAAACTGACCCAAAACTGACCCAAAATGACCCAAAACCGACCCAAAATGACCCAAAACTGACCAGAACTGACCCAAAACCAACCCAAACTGACCCAAAACTGACCCAAACTGACCCAAAACTGACCCAAAACTGACCAGAACTCACCCAAAACCGACCCAAACTGACCCAAAATGACCCAAAATGCCCCAAACTGCCCCCAAACTGCCCCCCAGGGATTGAGATGTTCCACAAGAGCCTGGACAGGGCCGAGGCCGGGGACAACCTGGGGGCTCTGCTGAGGGGGCTGCGCAGGGAGGACGTGAGGAGGGGGATGGTCCTGGCCCAGCCCGGCACCCTCCGGCCCCAGCAGAAGGTGGAGGCCCAGGTGGGTGGGGGGCAGGGCTGGGGGCAGCATTGGGGGCTGGGGGCAGGATTTGGGGTTGGGGGCAGGATTTGGGGTTGGAGGCAGCATTTGGGGTTGGGGGCAGGATTGGGGTTGGGGGACAGGATTTGGGGTTGGGGGCAGGATTTGGGGGTGGACTGGGGATTGGGGGCTGGGGGCAGGATTTGGGATTGGGGTGGCAGGGCTGGGAGTTGGGGGCAGGATTTGGGGTTGGAGGGCAGGGTTGGGGGTTGGGGGCAGCGTTTGGGGTTGGGGGCAGGCCTGGGGTTGGGGGCACGGGCCGGGGGTTTTGGGGCAGGACTGGGGTTTTGGGGCAGGATTTGGGGGTTGGGAGTTAGGATTGGGGGGCTGTGGGGCCGGCCTGGGGCTGCTCCTCCAGCCCCACAGCTGCGCCCCACACCCCCTGCCCCCAGGTGTACGTGCTGAGCCCGCAGGAGGGGGGGAGGCACAAACCCTTCGTGTCCAACTTCACCCCCGTGATGTTCTCCTACACCTGGGACATCGCCTGCAGGGTCATCCTGCCCCCCAACAAGGTGAGGGGGAAATCTGTGGGGCTGGGGGTCTGTGGGGCTGGGGGTCTGTGGGGTCCCAGGGACATCGCCTGCAGGGTCATCCTGCCCCCAACAAGGTGAGGGGGATCTGGGGGCTGGGGGATCTGTGGGGCTGGGGGCCTGCAGGGTCATCCTGCCCCCAGCAAGGTATGGGGGAATCTGTGGGGCTGGGGGTCTGTGGGGCTGGGGGTGCCTGCAGGGTCATCCTGCCCCCAACAAGGTAGGGGGATTTGGGGGCTGGGGGATCTGTGGGTCATCCTGCCCCCAACAAGGTGTGGGGGATCTGTGGGGCTGGGAGGGATCTGTAGCGGTCATCCTGCCCCCAGCAAGGTATGGGGGATTTGGGGGCTGGGGGAGAGCTGTGGGCTAGGGGGCCTGTAGGGTCATCCTGCCCCCAACAAGGTATGGGGGATTTGGGGGTCTGTGGGGCTGGGGGCCTGCAGGGTCATCCTGCCCCCAGCAAGGTATGGGGGATCTGTGGGGCTGGGGGATCTGTGGGGCTGGGGGCACAGGGACATCGCCTGCAGGGTCATCCTGCCCCCAACAAGGTAGGGGGATTTGGGGGCTGGGGGAGCTGTGGGGCTGGGGGGGACCTGGGGATCCCAGGACATCGCCTGCAGGGTCATCCTGCCCCCAGCAAGGTATGGGGGATTTGGGGGCTGGGGGGACCTGGGGGGCTGGAGGGGCCTGCAGGGTCATCCTGCCCCCAACAAGGTATGGGGGATTTGGGGGGTCTATGGGGCTGGGGGGTCTGTGGGGCACAGGGACATCGCCTGCAGGGTCATCCTGCCCCCAACAAGGTGAGGGGGATTTGGGGGATCTGTGGGGCTGGGGGCCTGCAGGGTCATCCTGCCCCCAGCAAGGTAGGGGGATCTGGGGGCCTGCAGGGTCATCCTGCCCCCAGCAAGGTAGGGGGAAATCTGTGGGGCTGGGGGATCTGGGGAGGCGGGGGGATCTCTGAGGCTGGGGGGCACAGGGACATCGCCTGCAGGGATCATCCTGCCCCCAACAAGGTATGGGGGGATTTGGGGGGTCTGTGGGGCTGGGGGCCTGCAGGGTCATCCTGCCCCCAACAAGGTGAGGGGGATCTGTGGGGCTGGGGGGTCTGTGGGGCTGGGAGGCCTGCAGGGTCATCCTGCCCCCAACAAGGTGAGGGGGGATCTCTGGGTCTGGGGGGGCCTGCAGGGTCATCCTGCCCCCCAGCAAGGTATGGGGGGGGATCTGTGGGGCTGGGGGGGCACAGGGACATCGCCTGCAGGGTCATCCTGCCCCCCAACAAGGTGAGGGGGGACCTGGGGGGCTTGGGGGGCCTGCAGGGTCATCCTGCCCCCCAGCAAAGTGTGTGTGTGGGGCAAGACAGGTCCAGGGGGTCAGGGTGGTCTTTGTGGGTCAGGGTGGTTTTTATGGGTCAGGGTGGGTTCTGGGGGTCCCTCTCCCCTTTCCAGGAGCTGGTGATGCCCGGGGAGGACACGACCCTGTCCCTGCTGCTGGGGGCGTCTGTGGGGTGGATTCTGTGGGTCAGGGTGGATTCCATGAGTCAGGATGGATTTTATGGATCAGGAGGGATTTTATGGGTCAGGGTGGATTCCATGGGTCCATTTCTCCGTTCCAGGAGCTGGTGATGCCTGGGGAGGACACGGCTCTGTCCCTGCTGCTGGGGGGTCTGTGGGGTGTGTCAGGATGGATTTTTGGTTCAGGATGGATTTTATGGGTTCATTTCTGTGTTCCAGGAGCTGGTGATGCCGGGGGAGGACACAGCTCTGTCCCTGCTGCTGGGGGGCTCTGTGGGGTGGATTTTATGAGTCAGGAGGGTTTCTATGGGTCTGTTTCTGTGTTGCAGGAGCTGGTGATGCCGGGGGAGGACACAGCTCTGTCCCTGTTGCTGGGGGCTCTGTGGGGTGGATCAGGATGGATTTTTTTGGTCAGGGTGGATTTTATGGATCTGTTTCTCCATTCCAGGAGCTGGTGATGCCGGGGGAGGACCCGGCCCTGTCCCTGCTGCTGCGCCAGCCGATGGTGCTGGAGCTGGGGGGTCTGTGGGGTGGATTTTTTTGGTCAGGATGGATTTTATGGATCTGTTTCTCCCTTCCAGGAGCTGGTGATGCCCGGGGAGGACACAGCTCTGTCCCTGTTGCTGGGGGCTCTGTGGGGTGGATTCCATGGGTCAGGATGGATTTTATGGGTTCATTTCTGTGTTGCAGGAGCTGGTGATGCCCGGGGAGGACACAGCCCTGTCCCTGTTGCTGCGCCAGCCGATGGTGCTGGAGCTGGGGCTGTCTGTGGGGTGGATTTTTTTGGTCAGGATGGATTTTATGGATCTGTTTTTCCCTTCCAGGAGCTGGTGATGCCCGGGGAGGACACAGCTCTGTCCCTGCTGCTGCGCCAGCCGATGGTGCTGGAGCTGGGCCAGCGCTTCACCCTCCGTGACGGCTCCAGGACCATCGGCACCGGCGTCGTGTCCAAGGTGCTGCCCTTGGAGGCCGCGGACAAGGACGTGTCCTGGGGCTGAGGGACCCCCTGGGACCCCCTGGGGCTGAGGGACCCCCTGGAGACTCCCCCCTGGGGCTGAGGGACCCCCCGGGACCCCCCTGGGGGCTGAGGGACCCCCTGGGACCCCCCCTGGGGCTGAGGGACCCCCCCGGGGCTGAGAGACCCCCCGGGACCCCCTGGGGGCTGAGAGACCCCCCCTGAGGCTGAGGGAAACCCCCAGGGCTGAGGGACCCCCCAGGACCCTCCCAGGAACCCCAGACCCACCCCCAGACCTCCCATCCCCTCCAGCTGGGAGGGACCCCAGGGGGAGGGGTTGGGTGGAAGCCCCGAGGGTGGGGGGAGGGGTTTGTGGGGGGAGGAAGCGTCTGTGCCCCCGAATTTGGGGGGTGGGAAAACTGTTGGGGGAGGGAGAGACCCCGGAGTGGGGAGGGGCGGCTTTATCCCCACCCTTCCCCTCCATTCACCTGTGGGGTGGTCCCACATCAGCCCTCCCTCCACCTGTGGGTGGCCCCATCAGCCCCTCCCCAATAAAGTTCCATTGGGTTCATTTTTATTTCGTTTTTATTGAAGTTTCGTTTTTTCTTTTCTCCTCTTGTCCTCTTTTTCTTTCCCCCAAAGTGACTGCCCCGGCCCCTCCCCCACCATAAATAATACAAAATGGGGGAGGGCAGGCCCTGCCCCTCCCCCAACAAGAGGAGCTGTAGGAGGGGGAGGGCCCTCCTGGGGTCCCACCCCCGTTTCGGGGGTCCGGGGTCTCCAGCCCCCTCAGGGTGGGGAGGGTCAGTTCCCAGGGGGTGGAACTGGAGCTGCTGGGACTGAACTGGGGAGGGAGAGAGGGGAGGGGTCAGAGCCACGAGTGCCCCCGAGCCCCCTCAGGAGCTCCCCAGTGCCCCTCCCCTCACCTGGGGGTGCCCGATGTATCCGTAGGGGAGGGGCTCGAGGCCGGCAGGGCCCCACCCCCACCCCACTCTGGGGGCCCCTGGGGGTCCCTGTGGGGAGGGGGTGGAGCAGCATCACCTGGGGGATGGGCGGCGCCGGGGTGGGGGCGGGACCCCGTCTGCACGTGGGCCTGGGGGAGGGGCAGGGTCAGTGACCTCAGGGTGACCCTGGGAGGGTCCTGTCGGCCCCTCCCCCCAATTTGGTTCCCTTCCCAAATCCACAGCCCCTCCCCACCCCTCGGAACCCCCTTGCTCCTCTGCCCCTCCCCACCCCCTGTTCTCCCCCCATTTCCTCCCCTGCCCCTCCCCCCACCTTCCCCATTTCCCACCCTCCCCACCCTTTCCAACCCCATCCCCTCCCCCTCAGCCCCTCCCCCACCACAAGCACCCCACAGTCTCCACTCCCGCTGCCCCTCCCCAACTTTTAACCCCTCCTCCTCCGCCACCCCTCCCCATTCCCTGGCCCCTCGGCCCCTCCCTCACGGCCCCTCCCCACCTGTGAGACGCCGTATCCGTGGTGCTGGGGTGGGGTGGGAGTGCAGAGCGAACACGGCCGCGGGGAGGGAGGCGGCGCCGGGCGGGGGGCTGGGAGGCTGGGGGAGGGGCGGCCCGAAGCCGCCCTGGGGAGGGGCGCCGGGGAGCGCCCTGGGGAGAGGGCGGCGGCGGCGGCGGGGGAGGGGGAGGGCGGGCGCGGCGGGGAGGGGCGAGGAGGGGCCGGCGCCCCAGGAAGAGCCCGGGCTGGGGGGAGGGGCGGGAGGAGCCCCTGGTGCTGCAACAGAGAACGGGAGAGGAGGGGTCAGGGCAGGGGAGGGCCGGCCCGCCCTCCCCGCACCCCCCAGCGTTACCTGGGCCGGGGACGCCGTCGAGGGGTTGGAGCCCGTCGGGGTCGGGGGGCAGCAGGGGGAAGGGCTGGTGCACGGCGGCTGTGGGGAGGGGCGGCGTCAGCGGGGGCAGGGGAGGGAGAGAGCCCCCAAATGGGGAGACCCCCTGAACTGGGAGACCCCCGGATGGGGAGACCCCCTGAACTGGGAGCCCCCTGTGAGGGGAATGCCCCAAAATTGGGGGTGGGGAGGGGCGCTCTCACCGTAGAGCGTCTGCGGCGGGGAGGGGCCTGGTCCGGCGGGGGAGGGGCGAAGGGGAGGGGCGGCCGAGCCCACCAGGGTGGGGAGGGTGGCTGCCCGAGGGCAGCAGGCGGGGCTCCCGGGAGCATCGGGAGCGAACACGGGCTGGGGGAGGGGCGGGGGGAGGGGCGGGGTCAGCACCGACCCTCCCCCATGGGGTCAGCATTGACCCTCCCCCCATGGGGTCAGCACTGACCCTCTCCCATGGGGTCAGCATTGACCCTCCTCCCCCATGGGGTCAGCACTGACCCCTCCCCTCATGGGGTCAGCAATCCCTCCCCATGGGGCTTCGCCCCTCCCCTTCTCTCAGCTCCCCTCCCCCTCAGAAGGCACAACCACCACTGCCCCTCCCCCCACCGTGTCCCCCCACCCCCACATCGAGCACCCTCCCCACCAAGCCCCTCCCCACTAAGCCCCTCCCAAATTAAGCCCCTCCCCAATTAAGCTCCTCCCAAATAAGGCCCTCCCCATCCCCTTCTCCAGCCCCTCCCCACCCCTACTCTTCCCTGAGCCCTCCCAATCCATTCAGCCTCTCCCCACCCCACACCCCTCCCCACCCCATTCCACCCCCATCCCTCCCCGGGTACCTGGGAGGCGTAGTGGGGAGGGGCGGCACGAGGGGGCGGGGCTGCCCCCGAACTGGGAGGGGCCGTAGGAGATGTAGGAGGAGTAGGGGGGAGGGGCGGCCACGAGCAGGGGAGGGGCCGAGCTGGGGGTGCTGGTCCGTCCGGGGGAGGGGCGAGCCTGGAGAGAGAGAGGGAGGGGAGGGGAGGGGGAGGGGTGAGAAAGGAGACTCCAAACCCCCCAAAGAGTGGGGGAAGGGGCAGAAAGATTTGAGAGGTGGGGAGGGGCAGTGGATTCTGGGGTGGGGAGGGGCAGCAAGTCTGGGGTGGGGGGAGGGGTAGCGGGTCCTGGGGGTGGGGAGGGGCTGTGGGTTTGTGAGGTGGGGGAGGGGCAGCGGGTTTGGGGGTGGGGAGGGGCAGCGGAGCCTGTGGGTGGGGGAGGGGCAGCGGGTCCTGGGGGTGGGGGAGGGGCAGTGGGTCCTGTGGGTGGGGGGAGGGTTCTCGAATCCTGTGGGGTGGGGAGGGGTCACCACCGACCTTTGGCCTCGGAACTTTCCGGAAGCAGAGCCGGAAACGGGAAACGGGAAGAGCTGCGGGGCCTGCGGGGAGGGGAGGGAGGGGGAGGGGCCACGCTCAGTTTGGCCCTGCCCCTCCTCCCCCTTATATTTCTTTGGGTGGGGAGGGGCGAGGGTGGGGAGGGGGGCGTGTCCTACCTGGACGGGGGCGGGGCCCACGTGGAGTTGGGGATGTAGGAGATGTAAGGGGGAGGGGCCGGGGGAGGGGCTGGGGAGGGGCCGGTACAGCCCTGCCCCTCCCCCGCCCCTCCCCTGCCGGCAGCACCCCAGCGTGGGGAGGGGCGGGGAGGGGAGGGGGCACCGGAGGGGCCTTGGCCTGGGGAGGGGAGGGGAAGAGAGGTCAAAATGGGGGTGGGAACCCTCAGACCACGCCCCCCTTTAGTCCTCCCCTTTTAAGCCCCTCCCCTCCTTAAGCCCTCCCCCTTTTTAAGACCCTCCTCTTCTTAAGCCCCTCCCCTTTGTAAGCTCCTCCCCTCCATAAGCCCCTCCCCTTTTTAAGCCCCTCCCCTCCTTGTTAAGCCTCTCCCTTTTTAAGCCCCTCCCCTTTTTAAGCCTCTCCCCCTTTTTAAGCCTCCTCCTTCTTTTTAAGGCCCTCCCTCCTTAAGCCCCTCCCTTTTAAGCCCCTTGCCCCTTTTTAAGCCCCTCCCCCTTTTTAAGCCCCTCCTCTTATTAAGCCCCTCCCCCTTTTTAAGCCCCCTCCTCCTTTTTTAAGCCCCCTCCCTTTTTAAGCCCCCCTTTTAAGCCCCTCCTCCCTCGTTAAGCCCCTCCCCCTCATTCTAGCCCCTCCCCTCACCAGGGGCCGCTGGGGGCTGAACTCTTGGCGTGGGGGTTGAGGGTCGAGCGCTTCACCTGCCTGGGGGGGGGGCAGGCACGGGGTGGGGAGGGGCAGGGCCACGCCCTTCCCCTCCCCCAAAGATTGGCTTTAAAAAATCTTCCCCACTCCAAAAAACCACCAGGGATTGGCCCCTCCCCACAACACAAATTGGTCCCTCCCCACCCCCCAAATTGGCCCCTCCCCACCCTCCAAACCAGCCCCTCCCCACCACAAATTGGCCCCTCCCCACTCTCAAAACAGCCCTCCCCACCCCCAAATTGGTCCCTCCCCACCTCAAATTGGCCCCTCCCCACCCCAAATTGGCCCCTCCCCACCCTGGCCCTCTCCCACTCACTCAGACACGGGCCCTCGTCCTTCCCCTCCCCACTCCGGGGCTCCCCGGGGTCTCGGCCTCCCTCCCGGCCCCTCCCCTTTGTCACGCTGGGGAGGGGCCGTGTGGGAGGGGCAGGGGCGGCTCCGGGGAGCAGCGGGGGACCTGGGGAGGGGGAGGAGGGCCAGAGACCCCAAACCACCCAGAATTCACCCAAAATCCACCCCAACCCCCCAGCTGAGCCCCTGCCCCTCCCCACCCCAAAACCCTTCAGAAAGGACCCACAATTGGCCCCTCCCCACCCCAGCGACCCCTCAAGGGACCCCACCCCACCCAAGGCTGCCCTCCCCACCCGGACCCACAGAGCCCACCAGCCACTTCAGAGCCCCTCCCCACCCTCTCCTGTCCCCTCCCCATCCCCACCCCTCCTCCCACATTTTCCAGGCCCCTCCCCATTCCTGCCCCCTCCCCACTCCTGCCCCCTCCCCACCTTTCCGGCCCCTCCCTGTTCCGGTTCCTCGGGGGCTCCACCGGGACGCTCCTGGGGGAGGGGCAGAGACAGATCCTGAGATGGGGAGGGCTGCCTCCCCCTCCTCCTTCTTTCCTGCCCCTCCCCTCCCCTCACCTTTCCTGGGGTCTCCTGATGCCTCCGGGGGTCCGTGGGGGTGGGGAGGGGCAGGGCGGCTCCTCGGGCGGGGGAGGGCGGCAGCTTTGGGGGCGAGGGGGGCAGGGGAGGGCGGCCTCTCCCCACACCCGGGGGTCCGAGGCCTTGGGGAGGGGACGAGGCGGGAACAGGCGGGACCCTGGGAGGAGGGGGGGGTCAGAGGGGTCAGAGACCCCTCCCCACCCCTCCCCCTCTCCTGCAGGCCCCCTCCCCTCCCTTCTTCTCACCTGGGGTCGGAGCCCCTCCCTCCAGAGCTGCCCCTCCCCTCCCAGGGGCCGCTGGGCCTCGGGGACATCCGGGGGCCTGGGGGTGGGAGGAGGCTCGTGAAGGGACCCTTCCCCATTACAGAGCCCCTCCCCCATCATAAGCCCCTCCCCACCCACAAAACGCATTTTCCTGCCCCTCCCCACCATTCCAGGCCCCTCCCCCATTTCCAGCCCCTCCCCTTATTCCAAGCCCCTCCCCAATTCTTGCCCCTCCCCACCATTTCCAGCCCCTCCTCCCAATTTCCAGCCCCTCCCTTATTCCAAGCTCCTCCCCCATTTGCAGACCCTCCCCACCATTTTGCCCCTCCCCACCATTCCCAGCCCCTCCCCCATTCCCAGCCCCTCCCCCCAAATTTGCCCCTCCCACCATTCCCAGCCCCTCCCCCATTCCCAGCCCCTCCCCATTCCCAGCCCCTCCCCCTCCAATTTTTACCTCCGTTCAGCCCCCTGGCTCGGGGTGGGAGAGGCGGGGCCCCTGGGTGGGGGCAGGGCCAGGAGGCCCCCCAGGCCTGGCCTCCTCCCGCCCCTCCCCACCCCGGGGGCGGGGCCGCAGCGAACTGGCTCCAGACCCCTCCCCTCTGTGGGGAGGGGCTGCTCTCCTGGGGAGGGGAGAGGAGTCAGGGGAGGGGAGGGAGGAGGAGGGGCAATTTGGGGGATTTTGGGTGGGGTGGGGGGAGTTTTGGGAAGAGTTTTTGGTGCTGATTTTGGGGTGATTTCAGGGGGGTTCAGGGGGGGTTTTGGGGGTGATTTTGGGGCATTTTTGGGGGTGTTTTGGGGGGGGTTCAGGTGGTAATTTTGGGGTATTTTTTGGGGTGGTTTTGGGGTGGTTTGGGGTATTTTTGGGTGTGATTCAAAGCCATTTTCAGGAGTGATTTTCTGGGTGATTTGGGTGTATTTTGGGGGTGTTTTTGGGGTGATTTGGGGTCACTTTGAGAGAAGTTTTTAAGGACAATTCCCAGTTATTTTGGGCTATTTTTGAGAGCATTTTTGGGGCAATTTGGGGGTATTTTGGGGCATTTGGATCATTCCTGGATATTTTTGAGGGGGGGGGTCTCACCTGTGGGCGGAGCCTGTGGATGGGGGCGTGTCCCTGCCCGAGGGAGCTGCTGCGGGGGGCGTGGCCGGCGCGGGGGGCGTGGCCTGGCGGGGACCACGCCCCCCTCCTCCTCCCCCTCCCCACCCTCCTCCTCCTCCTCCAGGGCCGCCCGGAGCCGGTGGGAGGGGCAGGTCTCGATTTCCCGCGCCAGGGCTGCCGCCCGGGCCAGGCGGGCACGCCACGAAACCGAGTCCTCACGGGCCAGGGGAACCCTGGAACGGCCAAAAACAGCCTAAAATACCCCTGAAACACCCCAAAACATGCTAAAATACCCTAAAATAACCCTAAAATAACCCTAAACCCGCCCGGGCCAGGCGGGCCCGCCACGAAACCGAGTCCTCCCGGGCCAGGGGAACCCTGGAAAGGCCAAAAACAGCCCTAAAACACCCCAAAACACCCTAAAATACTCCTGAAACACCCCAAAATACCCCTAAAACACCCCTAAAACACCCCAAAATAACCCTAAACCCGCCCGGGCCAGCCGAGCCCGCCACGAAACCGAGTCCTCCCGGGCCAGGGGAACCCTGGAAAGGCCAAAAACAGCCCTAAAACACCCCTAAAACAACCCTAAACACCCCAAAATACCCCTAAAACACCTTAAAATACCCCTAAAACACCCCAAAATACCCCTAAAACACCCCAAAATACCCCAAAATAACCCTAACCCCGCCCGGGCCAGCCGGGCCCGCCACGAAACGGAGTCCTCCCGGGCCAGGGGAACCCTGAAACGGCCAAAAACACCCTAAAATACCTCTGAAACACCCTAAAATACCCCTGAAATACCCCAAAATACCCCTAAAACACCCTGAAACACCCCAAAACACCCCAAAATACCCCCAAAATGACCCTATACCCGCCAGAGACAGCCGAGCCCACCACGAAACCGAGTCCTCACGGGCCAGGGGAACCCTGGAACGGCCAAAAACAGCCCTAAAACACCCCAAAACACCCCAAAATACCCCTAAAACACCCCAAAACACCCCAAAATACCCCAAAATACCCCTAAAACACCCTAAAATACCCCTAAAACACCCCAAAATACCCCCAAAATAACCCTAAACCCGCCCGGGCCAGCCGGGCCCGCCACGAAACGGAGTCCTCACGGGCCAGGGGAACCCTGAAACGGCCAAAAACAGCCCTAAAACACCCTGAAACACCCTAAAACACCCCTAAAACACCCCAAAATACCCCTAAAACAACCCAAAACACTCCAAAATACTCTAAAATACTCCTAAAACATCACAAAATACCCCCAAAATAACCCTAAACCCGCCCGGGCCAGCCGAGCCCGCCACGAAACCGAGTCCTCACGGGCCAGGGGAACCCTGGAACGGCCAAAAACAGCCTAAAATACCCCAAAATACCCCTAAAATGCTCCAAAACACCCCCAAAATACCCCCAAAACACGCTAAAACACCCCAAAATACCCTAAAATACCCTTGAAACACCCCAAAATACCCCTGAAATACCCGAAAATACTCTAAAACCCCCTAAAATACCCCCAAAACACCCCAAAATAGCCCCTAAACCCCCTCCCAAATCCCCTTCCAGGCCCCCAAAAACCCCCCAATTTTCCCCCAAATCCCCTCCTAGGCCCCCAAAACCCTCCAAATCTGCCCCCAAAATCCCCCAAATCCCTCCCAGCCCCCAAACCCCCGCAGACCCCCAAACCCCCTCCTAGGCCCCCAATTTTCCCCAAACCCCCTCCCAGCCTCCCAAAAATCCCCCAAATTTCCCCCAAACCCCTCCAAATCCTCCCAAACCCCCAGACCCCAAAATCTCCCAAATGCCCTTCCACCTCCCCCAAAACCCCTCCCACCCCCAAATCCCCCAGCCGCCCGTGCCCACGTGTAGGCGGCCAGGCTGGCGTCGTAGGTGGTCTTGACCCCGTAATTCTCCTCGTTGAAGCGAAACATCTCGTTGGGGTCCCACCCGTTGGACTTGGGGGGGAAACAGAGATTTAGGGGGGAAATTTGGGGTCCCCAGAGCCCCCCAGGGGAGTTTGGGATCTGTCCTTGTCCCCTCCCTCATTATTGGGGTCCCACCCGTTGGACTTGGGGGGGAAAAGACAAATTTAGGGGTGGATTTTGGGGTCTCTGGGAGCTCCCCAGGGGGGTTTGGGGTCTGTCCCTGCCCAGGGGGGTTGGATTTGGGGGTCTCTGAGAGCCCCCCAGGGGAGTTTTTGGGGTCTGTCCCTGCCCCCCCCCTCATTATTGGGGTCCCACTCATTGGGCTGGGAGGGAACGTTTTAGTGCTGATTTTGGGGAATTTCAGGGGGTTTTGAGAGGGTTTTGGGGGTTTTGGGGGGGATTTGGGATATTTTTGGGGTATTTCTGGGAGGCGTTTCGGGGGAGAACTTGGGTGTTGTTTTTGGGGTGTTTTTGGGGTATTTTTTGGGGTGGTTCCAGGCCATTTTCAGGAGTGACTTTCTGGGTGATTTGGGCGTCCCTTAGAAATGTTTTTGGGGTTATTTTTCAAGGTATTTTTGGGGTATTTTTAGGGTGTTTTTGGGGTGATCAGAGGCCATTTTCAGGAGTGACTTTCTGGGTGATTCAGGCGTGCCTTGGGGGTGGTTTTGGGGCATTTTTTGGTTATTTGGGTGTTTTTGGGGGCGATTCGGGAAAAGGGGAGGAAAGATTGGGGATTTTGGGGTCCCCAGGGGGGTTTTTGGGGTCTGTCCCTCCCAGGGGGTGGATTTTGGGGTCTCTGTGAGCCCCCGTTGGACTGGGGGGTTGGGGAGGAAGAACAAATTTAGGGGGTGGATTTTGGGGTCCCCAGGGGTTTTGCGGGTCTGTTCCTGCCCAGGGGAGTGGATTTTGGGGTCCCTGTGAGCCCCTGTTGGACTGGGTGGGGGTTGGGAGGAAAGGACAAATTTAGGGGGTGGATTTTGGGGTCCCCAGGGGGTTTTGGGGTCCGTCCCTGCCCAAAGGGGTGGATTTTGGGGTCCCCAGGGGTTTGGGGTCTGTCCCTGCCCAGGGGGGTGGATTTTGGGGTCCCCAGGGGTTTTTGGGGTCTGTCCCTGCCAAAGGGAGTGGATTTTGGGGTCCCTGTGAGCCCCCGTTGGACTGGGGGGGGGGTTGGGAGGGAAGGACAAATTTAGGGGGTGGATTTTGGGGTCCCCAGGGGGGTTTTTGGGGTCTGTCCCTGCCCAAAGGGGGTGGATTTTGGGGTCCCCAGGGGGTTTTTGGGGTCCATCCCTGCTCCCCCCAGGTTACCAGGTCTGACTCCAGGTCGTAGTCGTCGCTGCCCTCCCCCCCCTCCCAGCGTTCCAGAACCTTCTCCCGGTGCTCCCCGTTGAGCCGCAGGGACCCCGCGATGGCCGAGTCCGTGAACTTGTCTGGGGGGGGAAAAAGGGGTCCCAAAACCCCCAAAAATTCATTCGGGACCCCCAAAACCCCCTGAACTCCCCAGAGCCACCAGGACCCCCAAAATCCCCACAGGCCGCAGGGGACCGCGATGGCCGAGTCCGTGAACTTGTCTGGGGAAAAATGGGGTCAGGGGTCCCAAAACCCCAAAAAAGCCCCAAAAACCCCAAAAATCATTTGGGACCCCCAAAACCCCTGAGCCATCAGGACCCCCAAATCCCCCTGAGCCGCAGGGACCGCGATGGCCGAGTCCTGAACTTGTCTGGGGGGCAAGAGCAGGGTCAGGGCCAAAACCCCAAAAACCACCCCAAAAAATCATTTGGGACCCCCCAAAACCACCCAGAGTAACCAGGACCCCCAAGCCCCCTGAGCCGCAGGGACCCCGCGATGGCCGAGTCCCTGAACTTGTCTGGGGGGGGCAGAAAGGGGGTCAGGGGGTCCCAAAAGCCCCCCAAAAAAGCCCCAAAACCCCCAAAATCGCATGGGAATGTCCCAGAGTAACCAAGAACCCCAATTCCCCAAGACCCCCAGGACCCCCAAAATCCCCACCTCGAGTGGCAAAGGCCATGTCCGCAGTTCCTGAACCTCAATAACACCACATCAGGGGTCCTGGAACACCCCAAACCCCCCAAATCCCCCAAATCCCTCTAAAGGATCCCAAGCCCCCTGAGGACCCCCAGGACCCCCCAAATCCCCCCCAAATCCCCACCTCGGGTGGCAAAGGCCATGTCCACGTTCCTGAACCTCAATAACACCACGTCAGGGGTCCTGAACACCCCAAATCCCCCAAATCCCCCCAAATCCCCAAACTCTAAAGGATCCCAAACCCCTCTAAATCCCATCCAGGACCCCCAAATCCCCCAAATCCCCCAAAGCCCCCACCTCGGGTGGCAAAGGCCATGTCCACGTTCCTGAACCTCAATAACACCACATCAGGGGTCCTGAACACCCCAAACCCCCAAATCCCCCAAATCCCCTCTAAAGGATCCCAACCCCCAGGACCCCCAAATCCCCAGGACCCCCAAAATCCCCACCTCGGGTGGCAAAGGCCATGTCCACGTTCCTGAACCTCAATAACACCACGTCAGGGTCCTGAACACCCCAAACCCCCAAATCCCCCAAATCCCCAGACCCCCAAATCCCCCAAATCCCCACCTCGGGTGGCAAGGCCATGTCCACGTTCCTGAACCTCAACAACACCACGTCAGGGTCCTGAACACCCCAAACCCCCAAATCCCCCCAAACCCCCAAATCCCCTCTAAAGGATCCCAGATCCCCCAAATCCCCCAAATCCCCACCTCGGGTGGCAAAGGCCATGTCCACGTTCCTGAACCTCCAATAACACCACATCAGGGGTCCTGAACACCCCAAACCCCCCAAATCCCCCAGGACCCCCAAAATCCCCACCTCGTGTGGCAAAGGCCATGTCCACGTTCCTGAACCTCAATAACACCACATCAGGGGTCCTGAACACCCCAAACCCCCCAAATCCCCCCCAAATCCCATCTAAGGATCCTCAAATCCCCTCAGGACCCCCCCAAATCCCCCCCAAATCCCCACCTCGGGTGGCAAAGGCCATGTCCACGTTCCTGAACCTCAATAACACCACGTCAGGGGTCCTGAACACCATCGTGTCCACGATCTCCTCCCGCCGTGGGGGGAGGGGCAGAGGCGAGGACCCCTCCCCGGCCCCCTCCCCACCTGGGACCCCTCCCCATCGCCAGGGGGCGGGGCTGGGCGGGGTGGGGAGGGGCGGCGATGGACGGCGTCGAGGGCCAGCTCGAACTGCGGGGAGGGGCACAGGTTGGGGGAGGGGCATTTGGGGGGTGGGGGTTTGGGGTGTTTGGGGGTTTGGGGGAGGGGGTTTGGGGGAGGGGATTTGGGGGGAGGGAGGGGTTTGGGGGGAGGAGGGGTTTGGGGGTGGGGGAGGGGTTTTGGGGGAATGGGGAGTTTTGGGGTGGAAATTTGGCGTTTGGGGATGAGAGATTTTGGGGTGATTTGGGGGGAGTGATTTTGGAGTGATTTGGAAGTGATTCAGGGGTGATTTTGGGGTGATTTCAGGGTGATTTGGAGATGATTTTGGGGTGATTTGGAGGTGATTTGAGGTGATTTTGGGAGATGATTTTGGGAGTGATTTTAGAGATCATTTGGGAGTTATTTTAGGAGTCATTTGGCATTGATTTTGAGGTTGATTTGGGGGTGATTTTAGGGTGATTTTTGGGGTAATTTTGATGGGGTTATTTTAGGAGTGATTTGGAGTGACTTTGGGAATGATTTTGAGGTCAGTTTTGGGGTGATTTTGGAGTGATTTTGGGGTGATTTGGGAGGATGGTTTTGGGGGTGATTTTAGGGGCGATTTTGGAGTGATTTGGAGGTTATTATTTTGAGGAGTGATTTGAGAATGATTTTGGGGTGACTTTGCGGTGATTTTGGGGGTGATCTTGGGGTGTGATTTGGGGACGATTTTGGGGGTAGTTTTAGGAGTAATTTCGGGGTGATTTTAGGAGGTGATTTTGGGGTGATTTTAGGAGTGATTTTGGGAGTCATCTTGAGAATAATTTTGAGGTGATTTTGGGGGTGATTTTAGGGTGATTTCAGCATGATTTGGGGGTGATTTTGGGGTGATTTTGGGGTGATTTCGGCATGATTTGGGGGGTGATTTTGGGGTAATTTAGGGGATAATTTTAGGGGTGATTTTGGGGTGAACTGAGGGGTTTTTGGGGGTCTCAGCTCCCACCTTGGCACTGAGGGTCCTGAAGATGCCCTCGAAGGTGCAGCCGCTGCGAACCCGAACCTCGGCCGTGGAGCCCTGGGGGACCCCCAGAGTGACCCCCGAGTGACCCCTGAGTGACCTCTGAGTGACCCCTGTGACCCCTGAGTGACCTCTGACCCCCCCTGGGACCCCCAAACCCGAACCTCGGCCGTGGAGCCCTGGGGGACCCCCAGAGTGACCCCAGAGTGACCTCTGAGCGACCCCTGAGTGACCTCTGACCCCCCAGACCCCCTGAGTGACCCCAGAGTGACCCCTGGGACCCCCTGAGTGACCCCAGAGTGACCCCTGAGTGACCTCTGACCCCCCAATGACCTTTGACCTCTCAGGGACCCCCCTGTGAGTTCTGACCCTGCTGTGACCCCCCAGTGACCCATGACCCCCATGACCCCCAGTGACCCCTGACCCCTCAGTGACCCCCCCTAGAGTGACCTGACCCCTGAGTGACTCCTGACCCCCATGACCCCCAAATCCCCCAGTGACCCCTAAACCCCTCAGTGACCCCCCAAATGCCCCTCAAATCCCCCAGGACCCCCCCAAATCCCCAAGGCCCCCCAAATCCCCCAATCCCCCAAGACCACCCCAAAAATCCCCCAAGACCCCCAAACTCCCCAGGCTCAATTCCCCCAAACTCCCCTCAGGACCCCAACTCCCCAAGACCCCCTCAGGACCCCCAAACCCCTCCCAGCACCCCCAAATCTGCCCAGGACCCCCAAAAATCCCCCCCTCACCACTCCCTCGGTCAGCACGTGCAGCATCCTGGAGTTGTTGTAAGCGCCCTCAAACACCTTTTTGGGGGGGCCCAGGAGGGTCAGAGGCTCTGACCCCTCCCCAGGGACTTTGGGGGATTTGGAGGGATTTTGAGGGATTTTCAGGAGAGGGCTTTGACGAGGTCTTGCGGGATTTGAGCGAGGGATTCCTCGGGGCTTTCAGAGCTTGGGACCTGGGGGAAATTTGGGAAGGGGGGATTAAAGGGGAGGGGTTAAAGGGGAGGAGGTTTCTAAATTTGGGGGAGTGGAGACCCCCAGAGCCCCCCAAAAAAATCAAACCCCAGAATGACCGAAGGGTCCCAAATCCCACCCCCAAACCCACCCAGGATCCCCCAAAAACCCAGCCAGGACCCTCCCAAATCCACCCCAGAACCACCCAAGACCCCCAAATTCATTCAAGACCCCCAAAACACACCCAGAACCACCCCCAAAACCACCCAGGACCTCCCAAAACCCACCCAGGACCCCTCAAAACCACCCCAGAACCCCCAAAACTCCACCTCAGGAACCCCCAAAACCCAGCCAAGACCCCCCAAATTCACCCAGAACCCGCCCCCAAACCATCCAGGACCCCCAAAACCCACCCAGGACCCCCAAACCCCCAAAAGCCACACAGAACCCCCAAGATGTCTAGACCCCAAAATCCACCAGGACCCCCAAAACCACCAAGACCCCCAAAAATCCACCCCAGAATCCCCCAAAATCCACCCCAGGACCTCCCAAACCCACCCAGGACCCCCAAAATCCAACCCCCAGGACCCCCAAAATCCACCCCAGAATCCCCCAAAATCCACCCAGAAACCCCCAAAATCCCCCAAACCCACGGAACCCCAGGACCCCCTCAAAACCCACACCAGGACCCCCAAAATCCACCCCAAGACCCCCAAAACCCACCCAAGACCCCCAAATCCAACCAGGACCCCCAAAAACCCACCCAGAAACCCCCAAAACCCCGCCAAAATCCACCCAGAACCCCCTCAAAACCCATCAGAAACCCCCAAAAAATCCACCCAGAACCCCCAAAACCCACCCCAGGACCCCCCCAAATCACCCCAAGACCCCCAAACGAGCCCCAATTCCCTTCCCCCAAAAGAACCTCCAGCGACCCCTCCAACCCCAGGCCCCCAAAACCGCCCCCTCCCCCTCACCTGGCTCCGCCGCCCCTCCCCACGCCCTCCCCTCGGCTGCCCTCCCCCACCAGGAGAGCCATGAGGGAGAGAAGGAGCGGCAGGCCGGGAGCGGCTTCAGCATCCGCGGGGGGAAGAGCATTTCAGGAGCCTCTTTTGGGGCGATTTCGGGGCTTTTTGGGGGCGATTTCAGGGCCTTTTGGGGCTCCCGAGGCCGCTCCGGGGCCCTGAGGGGAGAGGAGAGAGGCAGGGCGCGGAGGGATCCACGCGTGGATCCTTCCGCCGACTGCCTCGATTTTCCCCCTCCCAACTTCCAACCCTTTTTCTTTTTTCCTCTCTGGAAAACCGCGCCGCCTTTTCCGTGTTTTTTTTTTGTTTTTTTTATTTTTTATTTTGGTTTTTTTGGGTGTTTTTTTTTAAATCCCATTTCACCGAGAGAAAAAATAGTCCCTCCCCTCACGGCGGCGGAGGGATCCGCGCGCAAAGCGACCCGTGGCGGGTTCTGCGCATGCTCATTGTTCACGGAGGGGTCCTCCCGGCCGCCAGGGGGCGCCGCGCGGAGGGAGCGGAAGCGGAAGCGGCGCTCGCTCCTCCTCCCACCCCACTCCGGGCGGAAGCGGAAGCGGGGGCCGGGGCTGAGGAGGAGGAAGAGCAAAAAAAAGCCAAAAAAAGCAAAAAAAGCAAAAAAAAAGCGACAAAAGCAAAAAGGGGGGAGTCCCCGGAGGCTAGAGGAGATTTGGGGGTCCCCCAGAGAAGCGGCGGCAGCCGGAGGAAGAGCCGGGCAGGGGCGGGGCCGCCATGGTGAGTGAGGGGGCGCGCGGGGGAGTTTTGGGGGGGTCCCAGGGGGATTTGGGGGGTTTGAAGGGGTCTGGGGGGATTTTGGGGATCAGAGGGGTTTGGGGGTCCCGAGGGGAGTTTTGGGGGGGTTTGGGGTGTTGGGGGGGATCGAGGAGGGGTTGGGGGTCCTGGGGGGAATTTGGGGGTGTTTGAGGGGTCTGGGGGGGTTTTGGGGGGTCTGGGGTGGATTTTGGGGGTCCCAGGAGGTTTTGGGGTGTTAGGGGGAGTCGAGGGAGTTTTGGGGGGATTTGAGGGGGATTTTGGGGGGTCCCAGGGAGATTTGGGGGGGTTGAGGGGGTCT